TAAGTTGAAAATGCAAATAATTAAAGCACAGTTAATTAGAGTGTTTAAGCAGTGTATGAGTAACTCTGCTAAAGATGGGCCAAAACGAAGTTAAGGCCACTGGCAAAAATTAAGAGCTAACCAAGTAAGTGTTAAAATATACAGAGGAGAGATATGCTTTCAGAATTCATATTTACTTCTATTCAACCAGTAGAATTTAAAAATTATATATGTCAAAGCTAATCCTCCAAAGTCATCAAATAATTACAATTAATATTAAAACATTACTTGGAAAGGGATATGAACATTAATTTACTCATGCAATAATTATTAATGGAATATTTTCTGGGTGTCTAGAACTTTTTTAGTGTATTTGGTGTTGTGGAGATAGATTTTATACTGATTTACACACAGGCACACACATATACACATTCCAAACACTAGAAAACAATGACCCTAATGCTTTTTCCATAATCTTACATAATCAAGTCTGAGTCAGAATCAGTACCCTTGTTTTTGTCCACTTTTCCAGGTCTGGGAAAGGGAATATACTTCAAGAAGTCAATGTAGTCGAAGTCAATGAGCAACGTCACTGAGCAGGGACACAAACATTAACAGAGACCATTTACATTCCTTGGAAGACATGGCCCATACTCAGTTATGTGGAATCTCTTCCCCCTGACATGTGTATTACTCTGCAGGCCATCCTCAGCCACCTACCATGAGTTTGTAGTCAAGGAACGATTCCAATTGGCAGGCACAGGAGTGCATTAAGCAGAATAGATTCAGTGAAATCCTTAAATTGAGATTCTGAGTCTTTGCAGAAGAATCATCAAGGAGGCTGGGTAAAAATTAAATTAAAACTACCAGGACCCCACCCCAGAGATTTGGATTCAGTAGGTTGGAGATAAGTACTAGGAATTTTTTTATATAAGCACACTCCAAGGGGCTCCAAGGACCAAATTTTTAGAAATATTTAAATGAAGGCAAAAGAGTCTACAAATGAAATGTACAACTTGTAATAGAGGGTAGAAAGTAAGGGCAGATATATCTTTGGGGGAAAATTACCCAAAGCAAGTGAACACAAAATCTGTCAAGTTGGTTTTGTTATTTTTTTTAACAAATATTTATTGTGACCCCATGTTATGTCAAGCACTGTCCTAGCAACTGAGCATACAATACTGAGAAAAATCAATCATTGCTTCTACTTTTACGGGTGGACATCTACGACTTATACAATTCTTTGCCACATAAATATAGAGATGAAAAATATTTAGGTTCAATACATTTAGATAAATGTTGAGAAAACAAAAACTCATGTGTACAAAGAATCAAAGCTTCGATTGAAAACTCTAATTAATCTTTATGTTTTATTTTTATTCTAACATGTGACTGAATGCAGCGTCTCAGAGGAGACACATTACAGTACTTCACCATTTTTATGAACATGTGGTCATTTTTGGCAGAAAGAGAAGAATGCCTAATTTAAATTTCTCCAATCATGTTGGGAATGAATTTAACATACCCAGTCTGACATCAACATAGTTACACTTCCTAAGCCCTGGATACATCACATATGAGGTGGTTTATAAAGCTAATGTGAGGTTAGACATCATCATGCCATCCTGATTTGTGCCTGAAATCTATTCCCACATAAGTGTAGCTGGCTCATGATGATATGTTATTCATCCATCCACTCATCACTTCTTGGGTGGGGGTGAGGATTATTCTCATTGGGCAATTAGTAGTACAATTAATACATGTTTAATATTACAGATATTTTGAGTCATATGCTAAATTTTCTATATCAATTGTTGGCATTTATAGCTACTATGCACTCATATAAAATTAATTGCTAACTAGGAAGTAATATGAAATTTAGTGTCATGTACAACCTTCCTGAATAATATAAATTAGAGGTTTAAAGGAATAAAGAACTAATTCTTAGAATCTTTTTGAGAAATCTGATAAGATCAAAATGCTTTTTAATGATATGACAAGGAAAATGAATAGGTATTTAAAAAGTAATTTGAAACTTGTTTTTTATGTTTTATTTATTCATTGTACAATATTAGTACTAATTGCACTTATGATGTTAATTGTAACAGTTCAGTTATAGAGCTAGGCAATAGACAAAATGTTCAAATACAACTGATGAATTTCATTAAACTAGCATATAAGTAAAGCTTAATTGGATATACTAATAGCCTTGTCTGGAACTGTGTTTTCAAACTCTGGTTTTAGTAGATACTCAGAAGCAAAAATCCCCAGTGGACAAAGCTGTTTGGGAAAAACTGATCTAAAATATTTATTTGAAAATACTGATGAGTTATGATAATACTAAAAGGTAACATGTATTGACTGCTACCATGTGCCATGTATAGAGCTAGATGTTTTAGTTGAATTATCTCACTTAATTTAGCCTTCTATGAAAACAAAAATTAATCATAGCTATGAGTGTCTTAATTGAACATAACTACAAATGAGGAAAATTATATACAAAGATGCTTAAATAGAAAAAACTATGTCACCAGTCATAACTGAAGCATTATTTATGCTTTAAAAGAAAACCTAAGGTTATATTCATTTATTGAATTAATATCAAAAACATTCTTTAAAAAAAATTTGTTATCTTGGTATTCACAGTAAATGGACTTAATACATTTTAAAATTTTCCATTTAGATATTCAGAATTGTGTAAGCACAAACTAAATGCATCTCAAATGGAATATAAGTTCCACTATAAACAGTATTATAAATTTCCCTTTATTACATTGGAAACAGATTGTAACTTGCTCTTAGGAAAGTTAAATAAAATTGAATTAAATACAATACTTGGCAATTATTCTAATGCTATTGTAATAAGTGGCGTTTATTCATTGAATGAGAATTACAAAATCAATGGTATGAATTCTACATTAAGACCGTTTCACTAAATAGAAGATATTTCATTACAAATAACTGTACAGTGCATACAGCCTTATTTAGGAGGCACAGATAATACAGAAAGACAATTATTTTTTTTAATTGAATAATAATTCTATTAAGTATTCAGTGTCTAGTTGCAAAGGGCCTCGCCAGTCACTGTTATTAACAGCTTTGGAATAAGTTTCTGCAAATTAAGAAAACAGGTAAACTCATGATCCTAATCAAATGTTTGAAGCATACATGCATCAGCATAAATCAGTTAATAGCAGATGATATTATTCCATTTTATTTTATTTTTTTGCTCTTACTACATACGTAGCAGAACATTAGTGTAACTACAATGTTAATAGAGCTGGCTGAGTTTCAGATTTCAAAACCTAGCATAGCATAGCTGGAAGAGATTGCCGGCATCTTTTAGTCCAGTTCTTTATATTATCAGTGAGCAAGCCAAGGTACCAGAGAGCTACTTACCAAAAACCATGCAGAGAATTAAGAAAAGGTACACATCTCATCCAGCCAGCCACCCAACCAGCCATCCAATCAGCCATCTAGCCAACTTTCATTTCATGCATTCATTCATTCAACAACTATTTATTAAATGTATGTGCTACATGCTCAGAATGTAATATGAGAAAAACAATCCATGACTCTTGCCCTATGGTTACTGTTTTGATTATACAGGGGGAGGTGGGAAAATATTAATCAAATAATAACTCAAATACACACATGATTACAAACCAAGACAGGTGTTCTAAAAGCAAGGAACATGGTCTATAAGAAGGTGTAAAAGGAAACCTGATCTAAACCAGGGAGTCAGAAAGGGCTTCCCAGAGGAAGTAGATAGCTTTTGGATTGAGCATTAAAGATGAGAGGGTGGAAAAGGCTGTAGACACCCTGGAGGAAGAGTATTTGAGGAAAAGAACGCCTGGCTTGTTTGTGTCTAGAAAGTAATGCGAGAGGAGCAGGAAGAGCTGGCAGGGTAGACTGCCCCATACCAGCCAGTGCCTGTAGTCCATCCAGATCATCATTTGTGGTCTTTACCTGAAGAGTCATGGGGGGCTACAAAAGAGTTTTAGGAGGATAAAGTTATAGCTCTTATCTTTGACAGTTTTGTTTTCACCTGGAAAAATGCTAGATTTGTAAATGACATTCAAGGTATAGGACCTTCCCGTAAGTTGTAGTGGCCTGTGGAAAGAGTAAGGAGGGAGAGATGGAGAATGGCAATATGGATATAAAAGGGGACTGAGCTTTGGTTGCCTTATTATCTGCTGGTGTACCTGCTTGCTTCAGGGCTCTCTAATAAATATTTGTTCTGAGAATAAGATCATGTTTGAAAAACAGTGGTTTTGAAGGATTCAAATATAGATTGAATTTATTTGTGGTTTGTGAGTTACACTAGATTAGCTTTTCTACAGAAAAGCCTCTACTTGGGATTTCTAAGATATTTTGTATAGATCCGGGGGTTTTCTTTTCCTTTTGGTCTGATTTCTTTTTATAAAAATCCATAGTATTTTTATAATTACCTACATTCATAATGCCTCTCTTGAGATTTCTTAAGGTAAGGGTTCTGGCCAATCTTATTTGACCAACTGGGATGCTAAAATACATTATTGACAAATCAGTTGAGATCTGAACCAAGCCTATGTGAGGAAATACAGTGAATTACCCGTGAAGAGATTGGGATTTTAGCCAAACCTACATGGTCTGTTACCCCAACTCTGCAATGACTAGAGTTGTTGGAACCTCACCTCATCTTCCTTCTGGAAAACCTTGACAACTCTTCACTGCCTGAAGAATCATATTCTAGCTGCTCCGGAAGGTCTTCCTCTGTAATCTTCACCTTCCTCTACAGTTTCCCACCAGTTGTCCCTTCCAGACAGTGAAACTACCTCCCTAATTCTTAATTACCCTGTCTACAAAAAAGGAGATACGACTGTTAATAATAATAGTTATTATGATAGAAGTTCAGCAAGCACTTAGCAAATAGCAGATCTTATTATTATATAAGAAAGAACAGATGAAGGCCAGGCTTAGAATTTATTTGAGCTGTTAACTTTATTTTTAATAAGAATGTGTTTGCTCTCCCCCCAAAGTTCATAACTCTGAAGAAAATACAATGACAGCACTCACACTGCAGGATATTTTAAATGGGACATTTTCTTATAAAACATTTTTTCCAAACTGGATTTCAGGTAAGTGCATTATTTCTTTATCTTTTGGGGTTTTTTAATGTATTTTATTTTGTTTTTATTTTAGTGCCAATGCATCTCTATAGTAACTAAATCCATATCAGTAGAAATGTACAAAAAGAACAATTATCTGGACAATTCAAGTGCTCAAAAAAGCACTTTTGACAAAACATTCATACTGGATTTGCCCCATAGTAATGAGGTCAATAGAGTTTTTAACAGAAAAAGAGAAAATGCATTATTGAAATAATTTGAATGCCTGTAATCACTTTTGAGAATGGTAGAAATACTCCTATTTAGGAAAACTCACAAAAGTTTTACCAATGGAGAAATTCCATTATTAATCTGGAAAACAGACAAATCTTACTCTGACAATAAACACTTTAAGGGTCACAAAACTGATATTTTCATATAGGTTTTCAAAATAGGATGTTATAAAGCAAATCCAATCAAATAAATAGTGATTGACTATGACATTTTAGTTGCATATTTTAAATCACTGAACAAATTAAATATTTTCATTTTTCTCTTTAGAAAATAAAATTAATATAAATTGAGTTGTAAGCTGAATCAAACACAATCTAAATGTAATTTATGTTAATTACTACAAAAGAAATGTACTATTTCAAACTAGTTTATCCCCTTTGTAGCTCAGAGAAAACAAAATTGTATTTCAAGCACCCTGAATCAGCTAAAATAAGGCTGCTGTTGGCAAATACGGCATCTTTGTGTGAAGTAGAACAAAGCATTCTATCTTCTTCCTTCTACCACCAACTTATTATTTTACATTTTGCAAAGCAATATTTACTGGACATAGAGGAAAAATAAAGTAGGTCTGTGAGATAGGAGAGGTTTCTTTTGTTAGGAATGTATTTCCTGTTAAGAGAGATCATTACAAATTTTGTTTTCTTTCTTGTTTAAAGGACAAGAATATCTACATAAATCTGCAGAAAACAATATAGTACTTTATAATATTGAAACAGGACAGTCATATACCATTTTGAGTAATAGAACCATGGTATGTATCCAACATCAGCTTTCCCTCAGAAATCTTTGCCAGTTCTTCACTGACCAAGAAACAGAGTTCAAAGTCTTAGCACCTGACCTGGATCCAACCTGCCTTCCTAGCTCCATACTCCACTAAAGTCTTCCAGTCCTCTCTGCTAGTCCCATTAGACTATTGCCTTTGCCTCCTTCTAAATCACCTAGCACTTTTCCTCCTCTTTGAATATAGTATAGCATAAGATAGGAGTTAAGAACCCAGTCCTTAGTGTCAGACCAATTGAGGTTCAAATCCTGGCTCAGTCCCTTACTGGTCCTGAAACCTTGGGTTAGGGGTTTCACTACACCAATCTTACTATGCCTTAGTGCTTTCCTCGGTAAAGTGGGAATAGAATAATACCTCTTTTGGTTAATAAAAGAATTAAATAAAATAACATTTGAAAGTGCTTAGGGCAGTGCCTAACATAGAATAAATGCTTAATAAGTGGTAGCTATAAAGTATGAGCACTTAACTGTTCTGTATCCCTGGGTTCTCAGTCCTCCAACTTTCTCCACCCTGAAAAATCTGCTTATTTTTTAAAGCCAAGTTTAGATAATACTCTCTTCCTCTTTGCAACCAGTAATCCTCTCATTTGAATTTAATCACTTCTTTCTTAATGATTTTGCAAGGCTATATTGAATATTTTATAGAAGATTCTAATTTGTAATATGTTACTCCTTAACAAGTTTGTAAGTTTCTTGACATCACAAAGTATATATTTTCTCTTGCATCCTGCTCCCATAGTATCTAGTAAATTTCTTTGAATTATAATAAGTTCCACATTAATTTTTTTAACTGCATTGAAAGTCTTTGTATGTAGGAGTATGTCAGTGATATAATATTCTTTTAAAACTACAAATTACATGGCTCTTTGTTATCTTTTCTGTATTCTAATCAACCTCCTTATAATTTCAGAAAAGTGTGAATGCTTCAAGTTACGGCTTATCACCTGATCGGCAATTTATTTACCTAGAAAGTGATTATTCAAAGGTATCAACTATTTAATTTGGTTATATCCAATTATATCTCCTACTAACCCACAAGGTTATTTAATAAAGTAAGAGAAAGCAAGAATCTGTCTTTATCTGTAAATATTCAGGCCCTGGTCACTAAAATAATCTTCAGCAAGACATGCTTCAATCTTACAGAGCTTGTTTGTTATAAGTTTGAAAGCCCTTTAAGAAATAGAGTCCAGGCCAGGCGCGGTGGCAAGCCTATAATCCCAGCACTTTGGGAGGCCGAGGCGGGGGCTCACGAGGTCAAGAGATCGAGACCATCCTGGTCAACAAGGTGAAACCCTGTCTCTACTAAAAATACAAAACTTAGCTGGGCATGATGGTGCATGCCTGTAGTCCCAGCTACTCGGGAGGCTGAGGCAGGAGAATTGCTTGAACCCAGGAGGCGGAGGTTGCGGTGAGCCGAGATCGTGCCATTGCACTCCAGTCTGGGCAACAACAGCGA